TTTACAAAGTATCTACATATTGTGCAGGTATAAAGATACATTTGTATGTATATTTGTGTACATTTATTTTTTTAAGCTATTTGACTTTTAGTTTTTATTATTCAATATTTTACTAACAGAATAGTCAAATAGCAACCTGTTTTTTGTGCGCATTTCTATGTCAGTCAAATGTTCAATTTTGGAATAAAGGGGTGGAAATTAAAACGTTGTTTTTTTTTTGCCGATTCATCGATCAATCGAAAAAATAATCGGCCGATGAATCGATTATTGAAATAATCGTTAGTTGCAGCCCTAATTATGTGTACCATGCACAGACGCATGTTGTGTAACTATGCGTTCTGAAAGCATGAACGCTCCGGAAACTTTCGACGGGGAAGAAAGATGTTGTGGGGGGGGGCATGAAACAACTGATTTATGGCTGATCAGTATGAACAGATTAATAATAACAAATGAACTGATTGGTAACAATAGTCATTAACTGATTAATGACCATAGAACCAAATAACAGTTACAACTTGTTACTGATAACAACATCTCACACTGTAATGCATGCAGACAGATGTGAGTTAAACTGAGTTCCATGAAACAACAATATTCATTCTGTAAAACACTAAGGACAGAATGTGTCGTGGAACGAGCCATCACATCACGTAGATAAAAGTGAATAAATAAGCAGGGCGTTGACCACGCGGCCGCAGTGCAAATATCCTGCCTTGTCATACCATTATGCAAGGCAGTCTAAGATGCAATACCTCTGGTCGAGTGCACCCTGAGGTTGACAGGAGGCTCTAATCTGATGCTCCGTAGGCTTCAGAAATAGCCTCACACAACCAGTGTGACAGGCGCTGGGTGGGTAACGAGCAACCTGCATTTGCATCTCTATAATGCACAAACAGATGTTAAGTTTGACGCATTGCAGCTGTGCGCGCTATGCAACACGTCAACGCCCGCACCGGACAGAGAAGATGGAAAGATGCTTCTTCTTCTGATTGTTGGGGGGAAGTGGAAAACCCCCTCCAACGATATCACTCTTAATTTAAGAGCTCATGATGTTTTAGGCATAAAAACTGGATTCGGTCTTAGATCAGCTGAGCTGCCGTCAGTCTGAGTTCCAAGACACGACGGAGCGACAGAGAGGGCAGATAATCTCTCACCCTCTTAGCGGATGCTAAAGTCAGCAGCAGGGCTGTTTAAAGAGACAAGAATTTAATTGGAACCTGATTCAGTAGCTCAGATGGAGCCTAGATCAGGGCTCACAGGACCAGCGTTAAATCCCACTGTGAAGCAGGTGGGCATGGAAACAGGCCTTTGTCTTGAACACCTTTAAAAAACACTTCATCAGTGGATGATTAAAGGCTGTTCTGACCCTGAAAACCTTGTGACAGGAAGAGATGGTTGTAGCATACGTTAATCGTGCTGAACGCCAGATTTCTGTCCATCAGCTGCAGAAGGACAGCACACCGCCTAGAGGACATGAAGAGGCCTCTACACCTTCTCTAAACACCTTTTACAAAATGCTCTTTCAGAGGATGATTAAAGGTTGTTCTGTCTCCGACAACTTCCTGACAAGAAGAAAAAATTGGCAGCAGAATACAATAATCGTGCTGAACGCCAGATTTCTGTCCCTCAGCTGCTGTAGAAAAAACAGCACACCGACTAGAGGACATGAGGTGATCTCTACACCTCCTCTATACACCTCTTACAAAACGCTCCATCAGAGGATAATTAAAGGTTGTTCTGTCTCCGACCGCTTCGTGACAAGAATAAGAAATGACTGTAGCATATGATAATCGTGCTGAACGCCAGATTTCTGGCCATCAGCTGCTGCAGAAAAGGACAGCACGTCGTCTAATTGACATGAAGTGGCCTCTACGCCATCTCTGTACACCTTTTACAAAAGGCTTCATCAGTGGATGATTAAAACTGTTCTGTCTCCGAAAACATTGTAACAAGAAGAAAGGCTGCAGCATACATTAATCGTGTTGAACGCCAGATTTCTGTCCATCGACTGCTGCAGAAAAACAGCACGTCGTCTAGTGGACATGAGGTGGCCTCTACGCCTTCTCTGTACACCTTTTAATAAATGCTTCATTATCAGATGATTAAAAACTGCTCTATCTCCGAAAATTTCGCGACAGGAAGAGATGGCCGCAGTGAACGTTTTACTCGAGCTGAACGGCAGATTTCTGTCCATCAGCTGCTGCAGAAAAGACGGCCCACCACCTAGTGGACATGAAATGGCCTCTACACCTTACTCTGTACAGCAGCGCTGAAAAACTGACCACTTGATGTGAACAGCGCTGTGGTGGTTGCAGCACGTGTATCCTGAATCGTACGCACTATACCTTGAGAGACATCCATCCTCTCAAAAGGATCCGCACAGCAGCCAGACCAAAGGTGCTGGCCTATTCTGATTAACTCCTTATCGCTCCTCCCGCCTGGAGAAGAGCGTCCTCCCTCCACGGCAGGTTCCACGAGCGCCCCGATAACAAGTGTCGTAGGACTGGGGACCATGATGCGTTCACGCACTTGGGCCAGAAGAGCTGTCAGTCCCTCCTCCTGAGCTCGGTTCAGAAAACCGTGATATCGGAGAGAGTGAGGGAGGTGAAGAAGCATTACGACCACAGGCTGTGAGAAAACGCATCCACCCCTAGCGGTGGATTGTCCCGTGGGCTCCATGATAATTATAGTTGACATCGAGCGTTCTCTC